GATGGGGCAGGCTTGAGTTTTTTGGGGTGATGGAGGCTCCCCAACGTCTCGGACCTCAGTGGGTGGTGATGGGGGGCGGCGCAGGGGAGGAGGTGGAAATGGGGCTGGCATCGGGTCCAAGGAGGCCACTGAAGAAGCCAGAAGGGGTCCCCTCCAAGGGTTGGTGGGCGCACAGAGCACCCCCCAAGTTGGCAACTGGTGGGGAATGGGAGCCACGGAGGCGTCTTCTCTTCGTGGGAGCAGAGGAGACGGTGGCGGCTTCGAGCACCGCAAGCAAAAAAAAAGCGAGGGTGCTGACGCTTTGGTCATCGATGGTGGATTTGGTCTTCGCCCGACTGTCCCCGACGGTGCTGGTGGGGTCGTCGCTCAGCACCCCCTTCAAAGCCGCCCTCCAGGACCTCTGCACCTTGTCCCGAAAATCCTGCCCCATCACCACGTAGATGACGGGGTTGATGCAACTGTTGATGTAAGCCACGCCGGCCACGATGGGGTCGGCTTCCACCGCCCCCTTGAACAAGCTGCTGTGCGGTTGGTTGGAGGCCAAGATCAACCCGACGACGTGGTAGGGCAGCCAGCAGACGAAGAAGCTGACGATGACCACCAGGATGAGTTTGGTGGCTTTTTGGGAGCGGGTGAAGCCCCTGCTGCGGACACGAGCCAGGAGGAGGCCGTAGCAGGCGGTGATGACCACGAAAGGCACCAAAAAGCCGCAAAGGAAGCGGGCGACGGCCGTGACGAGCTCGGTGAGGTGCTGGTGGCGCCCCACGGAGGTGTAATCCAGGACGCAGGTGGCTTTGTCGGAGAAGGCGTCGAAACGGGTGGTGCGGAAGACGAAGGAAGGGAGGGTGAGGAGGGCGGCGAGGAACCAAGCGGCCGCGCAAGCCACCCGGGCCAAGCGCAGGGTGCGGTGGTTTTGGCACCACACCGGGCGCGTCACCAAGGCGCAACGGTCAGCGCTGATGACCATCAAGAGGAGGACGCTGGCGAACATGTTGAGGACGGTGAGGGAGGGTAAAAGCTTACAGGCGAAGTGGCCCAAGGGCCAATGGTGGTCCCGGGCTAGCGGCAAAGCCAGGAAGGGCAAGGCCAAACAGCAGAGGAGGTCGGCAACCGAGAGGTTGAGGAACCAGACGCCGTTGACCGTGCGCCGCAGCTCGAAAGCCGTCACCCAAATGACGGCGCCGTTGCCCAAGACCCCCAGGAGGAAGATGAGGGCGTAGAGGGCCAGGATGGCTCGGTAGCTGTGAGGGACCTCGTAGCCACCGAGGTCGTACAAGGAGTAGTCATCCCAGTTGGAGTAGTTGAGGGTGTAGTTGGGCACTAAGTAGTCCATGCTCCACCAGCTCCCGACCTAGAAACCACACGTGGTTACACCATCACGCGACGGTTGGGGTTCAGGGATCTCCAAAACCCATCAGGTCCAACCCCCCATCATGGTCAAGGTCATCCTCCACTAAATTAGGTCCCTCATAAGCCCCATCATGCAATGGTTTGGGTTCAAGGACCTTCAAGGACCATCAGGTCCAACCCCACATCATGGTTAAGGTAGTCCTCCACTAAATTAGGTCCCTCCAAGTCCCATCATGCAATGGTTTGGGTTCAGGGATCTCCAAAACCCAGCAGGTCCAATCCCACGTCATGGTCAAGGTTGTCCTCCACTAAATTAGGTCCCTCAAATCCCATCATGCAATGGTTTGTGTTCAAGGGCCTTCAAAGACCATCAGGTCCAACCCTAGGCCACGGTCAAGGTCATCTCCCACCAGATCAGGTCCTTCAAAGCCCCAAAACACAACGGTTTTGGCTGATGGGACCTTCAAAGCCCATCAGGTCCAACCCCGAGTCATGGTCAAGGTCATCCTCCACAAAATTAGGTCCTCCAAAGTCCCATCATGCAATGGTTTGGGTTCAAGGACCTTCAAGGACCATCAGGTCCAACCCTAGGCCACGGTCAAGGTCATCTCCCACCAGATCAGGTCCTTCAAAGCCCCAAAACACAATGGTTTCGGCTGATGGGACCTTCAAAGACCATCAGGTCCAACCCCGAGTCATGGTCAAGGTCATCCTCCACAAAATTAGGTCCTCCAAAGTCCCATCATGCAATGGTTTGGGTTCAAGGACCTTCAAGGACCATCAGGTCCAACCCCACATCACGGTCAAGGTCATTTTCCACTAAATTAGGTCCCTCAAATTTCCATCATGCAATGGTTTGGGTTCAAGGACCTTCCAAGCCCATCAGGTCCAACCCTAGGCCATGGCCAAGGTCATCTCCCACCAGATCAGGTCCCTCAAATCCCATCATGCAATGGTTTGGGTTCAGGGATGTCCAAAACCCATCAGGTCTAGACCTATGCCATGGTCAAGGTCATCCTTCCCTAAATTAGGTCCCTCCAAAGCCCCATCATGCAATGGTTTGGGTTCAAGGACCTTCAAAACCCACCAGGTCCAACCCCACATCATGGTCAAGGTTGTCCTTCCATAAATTAGGTCCCTCCAAGTCCCATCATGCAATGGTTTGGGTTCAAGGACCTTCAAAACCCATCAGGTCCAAGCCTAGGCCATGGTCAAGGTCATCTCCCACCAGATCAGGTCCCGAGCCCCCCAAATTATTCGGCTTCATGGTCCTCCCCCTCCGCGGTCACCAAGGAAAGGGCCATTTCCACATTTCCCCATTTCCTCAACCGCGTGGCGCAAGAATTTGGATGAGGAAACATCGGGGGGGAACGTTGGCGGCTCCGGAAACTTCTCCGGTGGTTGGTGGGGGGGTGGATTTTGGGGTTGGGTCTCAAATGGTGGGAGGAGAAAAGGGTGCCCAAAATATCACCAATACCAGAGTTGGATGGAGATGACCCAACCCCCAACTTTCCCTAACACAGAGCTGGAAATTGAGGTGGGAAAATTGGGGGGAGAAAAATCGGGGGGGAGAAAAATTGGGGGGGAATCCAAATTTGGGGGTGGGAATAATTTAGGAGGACTATGGGGAAAGACTTAATTTGGGGGGAAAATTAATTTAGAACAAAATTTAATTTGGGGGAATATTATTTAGGAGGAATTTGGGGAGGAAAACTCAAATTTGGGGGGAAAATTCGGAGGAATTTGGGGAGGACAATCTGAATTTGGGAGGGGAAACCTGAATTTGGGGGAGGACAATTTCAATTTGGGAGAATTTAAATCTGGGAGGAATTTGGGGAGGGAAATCCGAATTTGGGGGAGGACAATTTCAATCTGGGGAGGACAATTTCAATTTGGGAGGAATTTGGGAGGGAGAATCCGAATTTGGGAGGGGGGGAATCCGAATTTGGGGCAGGACAACTCCAATTTGGGGCAGGACAACTCCAATTTGGGGCAGGACAACTCCAATTTGGGGCAGGACAACTCCAATTTGGGAGAATTTCAATCTGGGAGGAATATATTTCAGGAGGAACTTGGGGAGGGAAATCCAAACTTTGGGGAATTTTAATTGGGGAGGACAATTTTAATCTGGGAGGAATTTGGGGAGGGAAACCCGGATTTTGGGGAATTTCAATTTGGGGAGGACAATTTCAGTTGGGGAGAATTTTAATCTAGGAGGAACATATTTCAGGAGGAATTTGGGGAAGGAAATCCGAACTTGGGGAGGGAAATCCAAACTTCAGGGAATTTTAATTTGAGGAGGACAATTTCAATTTGGGAGAATTTTAATCTAGGAGGAATATATTTCAGGAGGAATTTTGGGGAGGGAAAATCCGAATTTTGGGGGGAGGACAACTCCAATTTGGGAGAATTTTTTATCTGGGAGGAATATATTTCAGGAGGAACTTGGGGAGGAGGACAACTCCAATTTGGGGAGGAGGACAACTCCAATTTGGGGAGGAGGACAACTCCAATTTGGGGAGGAGGACAACTCCAATTTGGGGAGGAGGACAACTCCAATTTGGGGAGGAGGACAACTCCAATTTGGGGAGGAGGACAACTCCAATTTGGGGAGGAGGACAACTCCAATTTGGGGAGGAGGACAACTCCAATTTGGGGAGGAGGACAACTCCAATTTGGGGAGGAGGACAACTCCAATTTGGGGAGGAGGACAACTCCAATTTGGGGAGGAGGACAACTCCAATTTGGGGAGGAGGACAACTCCAATTTGGGGAGGAGGACAACTCCAATTTGGGGAGGAGGACAACTCCAATTTGGGGAGGAGGACAACTCCAATTTGGGAGCAATATATTTCAGGAGGAATTTGGGGAGGGAAATCCGAACTTTGGGGAGGGAAATCCGAACTTTGGGGAGGGAAATCCGAACTTTGGGGAGTTTCAATTTGGGGGAAGACAATTTCAATTTGGGGGAATTTTAATCTAGGAGGAATTTGGGGAGGGAAATCCGAATTTGGGGAATTTTAATTGGGGAGGACAATTTCAATTTGGGGGAGGACAATATTTCAGGAGGAATTTGTGGGGGTATTTGTGGGGGTGCACGCACCCCGCCCCCTCCCCATCCGCTCACCTCGCTCCTCGCCGCCTGCACCCGTGCTCCCCGGTGCCTGCGCGGGGGCTTTTACGCGGTGACAAAAAGGAACCAAAATGAAGCGGAAGGAAGCCCCAAAAAAAGAAGAAGCCGGGGGGGGCACCGGGAGGGGCAAATTTTGGCTTAAAATTTAAGAAATGGGGGGGGAGAAACTGCTAAAAATTGAGGTGTTCACCCCAAAATTGGGCTTTTTTTTTTTTGAAAGACTGAGCTTAAAACGTCTCATTTCAACCCAAAATCTCCTGCAGAGCCCTGCCCAAAAAAACCAGGACCCCCCCAAAACCTTAAAACCCCCCAAAAACCTTAAACCCC